CGAAATATTCAGTCTTGAAAGGTTTTTGTTGTTTGCAACATTTATTCGTTTAAATATTTAAAAGCGTCAGAATCTTTTAGTTAGCAACGGTCTGTGTCATCTGTGCTTCAAAGTGACAGTTCCTGTACTTATTACCCATCGCTGTCCTTATGATAAACATTTTAGAGCTTTTAATCTTTTTTTTTTGTAATTTATCTCCCCCTCCCCACCCCCTCCGCGCCCTCTTCCTGCTATTATTGTTCCACCCACGACTGTTTAGAAAAACCGCGTCTGAGACTGAGAACACTCTTGAAACCTGAAAGGTAAATGAATGCAACACGCAGTAAACAGTAACAGTTAGGGAGGTTTCTTTTTTAAAGGTACATCTTCAAATATTTTGGCCGTTTCGGATTTACACATTTTGCTTAGTGGTATCAGTCAGATAGCAGTTTTATCAAAAAAGAAAAAAAAAAGTGCTGCAGAAATAGCTTCTAAAGCTATATGCTTAGCGTAACATTTAGTTTGCAAAGCTCACATTAAAGTTTATGTCTATGAAATATTACGCCAAACAACCGACAAAGTCAATTCGCTAAACTTAAAACTTTGGCCTTCTTGATGATATAAGAAAGGTCAAAGTATAAGGATTAATACGCGTTGAAGTCCATATTACTCACTGGCTGGATATACAAAATTGCAATTTTCAGGAATTTTTAAACAATGCCAATGGCAATAAAAAACAACGGAGCTTTCACTAACCGTTAATTTTAACTAAATGATAAACTTGTTAGACATCTTCAACAGAATTGGTTTCAGCCTTAAAACTTTAATTTAACCAAAACTGACCTATTCAACTAAATACACTGCGTTCATTAAACAGCATTGCCAATATTCAGTAAATTGTTTCAGGAAAAAAAAAACAAAACAGATGAGGATAACTGATGAAAAGCAGACCTTCACACTTGCAGTTATAAACTTTATCATCTGAAAACTGTTGCCCAGACTTATAGAAAGCATAAAAAGGAAGAAATGTTGCTATTAAATAATAAAATAGAAAATATAAGTCACATGAGAACACAGTCACAACAAACTACCACTCCACTTGAGCTGAACTTGTTCAGCTTGCCAAGAAGCTACTAATAATAGAGAAGTCTGTTATCTACATTATAGCACATTTTTCATTCACTGAACTTGTTGGGCGTCTTCAGAAGAATTTTTTCACTTCCTGGTCCACCTACGAAATGGAAGGAAGGTTGTTTTCAACAACAAACTACATGCCTTTTACTGCAGTTTTTTCTTGATTACACTACAAAACCACCAACAAATTAACACCTGCAGATCAACGGATGTTTGATTTGTTCAGACAATTTGATGTCAAAGTAGGTTTTTGCGCTTTGTTCATCTCGTTTTCAGAAGCCTATCCGATTTTTTACACAAGAATATGTAGATTTTAGAATAACTGTTCAAAATTTTTGCGTGAAGTTATCATAAACTACATTTTTTCCTTTTTGAACTCAGTAATCCCGTAAAATTCTGGTTAAGTGTTACTACTGCTTTTTGGTAGGAAAATGCATTGTTTCTTAGACGGGAACTGGCGTAGTGACGGTAACAACGGTAACAGCTATTCGTACTTAGTGTTTATTCAATAACTTTAGAATTATGGTATCGGTAGATTCTGAATTTCTAACTTATCTACGAGCAAACTGGTAGGACTTTAAACCAGGCCAGGCTGTTTATTGAATAAAATTGTAGCAACTGCTTTTTTTTGTCAATAAATCTACGGAAAAAAAAATATAGAAACAATACAGTGAGTTTAAACAATACAAATGTTTTTTGTCTTCCACGATTAAAAACTGTTGGAGTAAAGAAAAAATTTAAAAAGGATCAATTATAAAAGAAAAGTTTTATTTATTACCACAGGAACGTATAAAGAATGACAACAGATAATAATTTTCAATAAAGCGGTGCCATGGTGAAATACAAATCTTAGATTCACCAATGTATAATCATCAATCATTCATGATCGTCATTATGACGTCGACCAAATTCAGAAGTAACTGACTATGTAACAAAAGAAAAAATTCTTTTTTGATGTTAAAGCAGACAAAATGCAATCAATTTTAAGAGGCAGTTCAACAATCAAAGTGTTAAATTTCTTCAAAAAAAAAAAAAACCTGTGTCAAAGAAATGCTTTAGTTAAAGTTCAATTTTTTTTTCTTTTTCCGCATCATATATACATTAATTAGTCGTCCATTTAAAAGGAAAGCCAAAAATATAGAAATATTTTTGCTCAATTAAAACCAGTAAAAGCAATGTTTTTCGAAATATTTTCAAAGCAACTTTTTTTTTTTTTGGCGATCAACTGTAGCTCAATGTTAACTGATAAAGTTTCAGCAGTGACATTTAAAGCAGCTGTAAAACGACGACTAGACTTCTGTAATCTTTAGAGCAGCAAAAACTAACGATAAATTTATGTGGTAAAAAAAATATTACTTGACCAAAATTTGACTGCGACCAAAACAACCGAAACACGCAAAATTTTTTAACCTTATTTAAACAACTCGGCACAAAGTATTCCTCTCAGAAACGCTTAGCGCCTACATTCTGAATACCGGTAAAATAATTTCATTTCGACCAGTAATGATCGACTTCATAGCTCAACCACCAATCAACAATTTTCATAAATTTTCTAAGAATTCAGACCTCATATGTATTAATATAAATCTCTTAAAAATACAAAATTTCATAGTTTTTAGTTTCAAAAAATAACTGGTAAAACTACCAGCTTTCTAGTTTTCCAAAATCACTCAGTACAAGTCCAGGAACCTTCACTAAACAAATGATTTTTAGCTACTCGATAAAAAATTTCTTTTCCTTTACTGTTTTGCCTTTAAGAGAAAGAATAAGTTTGAATATAGTCGAAGAAATTTGAACATAAAAACACAAAAAATTTAAACACAAAAATAAAACCAATAAACAGCTTCCCTCCTTCAGATTATTTCCATTATTAACCAAAACAGTTTTGATAGAAAATAAGGAAAGATGGTATCATAATCTTTCTAGAAATTACTTGTTTTCTTAAACTACAAAATGATTCTGTCTTCGTTTTTAAAAAAGCATTAATTAAAAAAACAAGCTGAAGATCACTAAGATCAATTATAAACAAAGCAGAGTGAAGTCCTTTGATGTCAAAATGGTGAGTCTTCCACTGAAAATGAAAATTGAGGTGCGACGGCCAGAAGAAAACAAATTACCAGAGATGATGTTTATTGAAGCAATAAATGCACTGAAACAGAATTGAGACGTGAAAATTTGAAAGCACAAATAAAGGTGGGTAATAAAGTCAACAGATTTGGTAAATCTAATAACAGCCAGATTATCCTCCTAAGAATTTCAGTAAATGTGAACTTTTATAGTTCCATCCCATCCACCACGTCTCAAAATCATTTTACACCAGAAGCGATCTTGATAGCCACCGATGCTTTTTGATTACCAAATCCCTGCCAGTCGTTAACTGATCACTATTCATTATGATAAAAACCTATACATAATACTAAAATGCAACTCCGTTTGGTTTTTTATATTTGGCTACTTCACCCTCTTCGTCCGCTTTTGATCACTTTAGACATCTGAGGTTTTGTTTTTTTTTTTAAATGTTATTCTACTTTCCTTGTTTCTACTTTTGAAATTTTAGGACGCCTCCGTCTAAATACAACAATCATTTATGTAAAAGCGCAGTTAGCTGCCTTTCAAAATCACATCTGGCACCCTTGAAGCTCCGTTAATTTTCAGAGAGCAGGCACAATCGGTGAAGCTATATCTCTAACTCGACTCATCCAACAAGTTGGACGCTCATTATTTTACAATTAAAAAAAATTTTCCCAAAAGACTTGAAGACGCCTTATCTGATCCAAATCAGCTAAATTGGAAGCAACTAATTAAAACAACGAAGTCAAAGAACAAGTGCCAATTTAATGCATATAACAATCCTAATGTTAAGACCAATAATTATTAACCCCCTGAAAAATGTAGCTTCAAAGCCATTGCAAAAAAACATTAAATGCATCTACCCTTACCTAACCCTCCGCTTACTCAAGCAGTGCTTAAACTAAACAAGCTCATCGTCACAACAAAATAACAACGCCTGCGCCTCCAAACCTCATATAACTACAAAAATCAAAGATTGTCAGAACTTACAACTACCATATAATGAAGCTCTCAAGGTCCTCATCCTCATCAAAACTAAAATACTCTTTAAAAATACTCTGATTGTACTTTTTCTTAATAGAAAGCAACAAAAAGGTACTTAAATCTCAAATGTTTCAACAAAATACCTAGTCCTTTCCAATTAACCATCTGCACTCTACAGCACTAATATTATCAAAGCGGTGTTACTTCTTTTGGCTGCTGGTCAAAAAGACATTATATCTAGGCGCACTGAATTCAATTAATACACAAACCGTTAATACTTTTATAAAGAAAGAAAATCTTGTTGCAAAAAAAAAAAAAAAAAACTCACCCAAAAAATAAAAGTTGGTGGTCAACAACCTTTACTAGTTTTGACGATAACTCATCAACGAAACAAGACGAGATATCAATATATAACAAACCCCAAAATTCTATAACATCTCTATTTAACAAATTAAATGAGCCCCATCTCTCATAACTAAATAAAATTTGATAAATCAATCGTGACTCCAACCTTGAAAACCTAAACTATTTCTCGCTGATCAATTAGTAACAAAAAAAGCGACAAAAAATCTAGGTCACTTCTATCCTAATCTCCTTAAAAATATAACTTACATAATAATACTACTTATAACTGGTTCAAAAAAACTTAAGAGTACTTCAAACGAACGACTGATAACAGCAAATCTGGATGAGGAAGAGACTGTACGCTTACATGTAATCAAAAAAACAAGATTCATGCCAAAAAGTAAAGCAGTCAACAACTTCAAAATCATTATCATAACAAATACTATTCCAGCTAAACAAATAAACTGGATTAGATTAATATACTACAACTACTTCCTAATAACTGGCTTTGCCCGCCCAGCCTTCTGAAAAGCCCGAGCGTCTTCCTTTCTCAAGTCGTCTAGTGTGATAGTTTTCTTCGGCCAATCTGCAATTCGATACTTTCAGGTAGCACTTGAAAAATGTTACTGTTTAAGAAAAACATCCAACAACTGTTTAAAATATTAACATTTCTCAAAAAACCAAATCAGAATAGTTCAGTGAAAAACTACTCTATTTTAAAAACCTCTTTAAAAAATGCAAGAAAAAACGGCTTGAAGCGAGTACATACTCTTCCAGTCCTTGACTGTTCCTGCAATAGAGGTTTTAGTTGCAGAGTTATCAACTATCGGAGGTATATTCAGAAAAGACCGTACCGCATTAACTCTGAACAAACCATAATAAAATAATGAGAAGAAGTTTGAAATGCACCAGTATAGACCTAACGCCTGAAAAAATTCCAATTTTTTTCCGATTGAATTCAATCAAAACTTTCATCTTAAAACTAAAAAAATAAAAATTCAAAAAAACTGCAGTGAATTGCTCTGACAGATAAAAAAACAATTTTCAAAGATAACTGTAATAGTTTCGCCACAAAATACTGTTAGTAAAGGTGTGACCAAGATAAAACTTCAACATACCGCTCCGTGACGGGAGACAAAAAAGAATACAAAAACAGGAATGCCAATCTGCATGAGCATCCTAGCGGTTGGAGCCAATTGGGTGGGAGTGGCCCCAGTCTCAACACCAAGCTAAATAATTGTATTGACGTTACAAAGTTCTCATAATATTTTTTTATCCTAAAGTACTATACTCTGGCAGCTCTTTGAAATTATATAACCTCACCTTCAAAGTGGTGAATAAAGTTCCCGCCGACACTATTGGTAAAATGTAATAGGGATCAGGCACTGTTAAGTCTTGAAACCATAGAACTCCACCATCGGA